ACTTTGTGGGGCAAACTTGGAACACGGTTGCTATTCTCTACGACGTGTCATCCACAAACAGATGGACAAACTGAAGTTGTGAACCGTACTCTATCAATGCTACTACGAGCTATCCTCAAGAAGAACTTGAAACTTTGGGAAGAAAGTTTGCCACATGTCGAGTTTGCATACAACAAGGCAGTACACTCGACCACTAAATTTTGTCCATTTGAAATTGTATATGGGTTTAAACCCACTACTCCCATAGATCTTTTGCCTTTACCTATGCAGGAACGTGTAAACTTCGATGCAAGCAAGCGAGCCGAGTTTGTCAAGAACCTTCATGATAGAGCTCGGACAAACATTGAAAAGATGACCAGGATGTATGAGAAGCACGCCAATAAAGATCGAAGGAAGGTGTTATTTGAACCAGGAGACTTGGTTTGGGTGCATTTATGCAAGGACAGATTTCCTGAACAACGCAAAAGCAAGTTGCAAGCCCGAGCTGACGGTCCATTCAAAGTGCTACGCAAGATCAATGACAACGCTTATGAAATTGATCTGCCAAGTACTTATGGTGTGAGTACCAGTTTTAATGTGGCCGACCTCTCTCCATTCTTTGGATTAGAAGAGTCGAGGACGACTCCTTTTCAAGGGGGGAGGATGATGTGACCACGCCAGCATCGAAGACCTCGGTGACCACTCCGCCCACCTCTCCGACCACTTGAAAACCTCGGCGACCACTTCGACCACTTCTTCGACCACTCCGATCACCTCACCGACCACCTCGGCGACCTCACCGACCACCTCGGCGACCTCTCCAATCACTTCACCGATCTCGGCAACCTCTCCGACCACCTCACCGGCTGATACACCACTTCAAGTCCCTACTGGACCAATCACCCGTAGCCGCGCCAAAAAGATACAACAAGAGGTGCACGCGCTACTTTGTGAATTTCAATTAAACATTGATGGTAATTTCGAGCTACCTAAGTCGTGCATGTTGTTATTACTCAGATTCTCCGAGAAAGAAGATAAGGATACATCAAGGATGGATCAGAGAGAAGAGCTGGGCGTTCGACCAGTTTTAGTGAAGACTGCTCCGAAGCTCAATAGTCTGCATGAAGCTAAAGAGCCCGTGCAAAAACTGTACCATTCTACAATAATTAGTGGAAGGAGTTATGACTAAAACATTAAAGACTGCCCAGAAGACATGCGGAAACTGAAGACCACTTCGTGAATGCTCTAGTCCGTTGTCCTTCCACCTTCCAACGTGGCTTCTTCAGTTCACATCTATCTTAGAAACTTCTCATAGTATAAATACCACCTCTAGGCTACTAGAAAAGGACTTTTTGATAATTTGATAATTCCAGTGATATTGTAGCCGAGCTGCCGAGTGCTTACTCAAACCCTTGTTCTTCCTTGTTCTTCCTGGACTTGTGAAGAGATTCCTCTGGAATCCACTAGTTCGTGCTTTGCGGGTTCTAGTATGGCTGCCCTGCCTTGTGTGGATTAGCTCCGGTTGTGGTTCTACGGTCGTTCGAAGATCGAGTCGAAGTCTTCGCAGTTTTGGTGCCTCTCTCCCCATCACTGGTCACATCCAACCTTGGCAGGTATAAAGCTAGTTATCCTCCGCTGTTCGCAGCAAGTTATCTTGTGATTTTCATCCTACTGTCGTGAAGATCGGGCCAACTCCCGTACTGAAATAGCTTCAGTACTTATCAACGTCCAATAGTCGTTGGACCTTGGCTTTGGCTGATTGTTGTCTTTCTTCTAACATTTTGCGAAGCTTTTGTTTGGCAGGGGTGTGGTTTGGGTCAACATCGATGCTGTGCTCGATGAGGGATCTGTCTACTCCACGGAGGTCTTCTGCCCTCCATACGAAGATGTTATAGTTTTCTCTTAGAAAAGTTACAAGGTTGTTCTCGGTTTCGGTGTCGAGTAGGGCAGATATGATGACTTGTTTGTTAGGGTTGTTCTGAAAGAGGGAGACTTTCTTTGTTTCTTCGACTGGTTGGACGACTCTATCGGCTAGCCTTGGCTTATCTGGCGATTTTGGTCACTCTTGCTGCTTTTCGGCTAGAGATTGTGCACATTTCTATTGTGCACATTTCTTTGCCCCGGTGTTGTTGTACCTTCGTCCGCTTGGATGCTGTCTTGGTCGCCGTATACGTTATGATGCCCTTCGTTGCTGGGAATTTCATGCAAAGATAACCTGGGTGGATGACAGCACTAAAAATGTTGGTGACCCCTCGGCCGAAGATGGCATTGTAGGGGTATTGCATGTCGACCACATCGAAGATTATGTGTTCAGTCCTGCAGTTGTGTTGGTCGCTGATGGTTACTGGTAGGGAGATTTTGCTAATTGTCTTCACTTTCTTGTCGCCGAAGCCATAGAGGGGGTTACAAGCGAGTTGCAGGAGGTTTCTGTCGAGCTTCATGTTGTCGAAGGTTGATGAAAGCAGGATGTTAGTGGAGCTACTGGTGTCTACCAAGATTTTTGGTATGGTCCAACCTGCCACATTTGTCTCAATCACCATTGCATCTGTATGAGGATAGTCAAGCAGCTTGAGATCTAAACTATCGAAGGTGATTGGGAGGTGTGACCACTGGGAGTTTTTGTGCGGACCCTCGGCCACCACGTGGTGTGCCCTCCACATGTGCTCCTTGTGATGCCTTTTGTTCCAGTGGTCTTCATTAGATCCCCCTGAAATTGCAAGGATGACCCCAAATGTGGATGTGGGATTGTTGATGGTTGTCTGGTTGGACTGGGTAGCAGGCTCGGTTTTAACATGTTGTTGCTGCTGCGAAGGTTGGGCTGGCGGGGGTGGCAGCGGGGGTAGAGCTAGGTGAGGGTTTGTCATCTAGGGTGGAGTTGGTGGGTGTGTTACTGTGTAGGCTTGCGAGGGTGGTATTGGAAAGGGTGGTGGTGTGTGTCAAAGCTGTTATACTTTTGATATGGGTGGTGGAAGGTTGTGTAGCTTGAGTAAGGGTGGGTTGGTTGTTGTGAAGGTAAATCGTAGTTTACTGGGGTATAATGGTAGGGTGGGTTGGGTGTTTGGTTTGGTTCCCTTCATGTGTGGTTGACTGGTTTTGGTGCAGATGTCGTCTGCTGGGATTCTTGAAACTATTTCCCTTTGGTGAAGCAAGCGCATTGCTTTGTGGTGTGGCCTTGCCTAGGCCACAAAAATGACAATACAGTTTTGAGGGGTCCTTTGGCGGAAGTCTGTTTGTGGGGTTGGCTCTGGGTTCATTTCGGTTGATGGGGGTTTCTTAGGGCCTTTGTGGTTGTTGTTGCTTTTGGTTTAGTGGAGGTGTGTTGTCTATGGTGTTGACACTGATGGGCTCATGTGAGGGTACTGTGGTCTCTGTTGTGGCCTCGACGGAGGTCTAGTTTGGGATCTTTGTGCTTCAGACTTCATTCTGAAATCAGTGTCGGCCCTGCAGCATTTTTCCATGACCTCATGTAATTCTATGATAGTTGTTGCTGGTTTTCTTGCGAGTTTTGAGGAGCAGGGCCCAGAACGCAGACCATTGACTGCAGTGAGGATAATTGCTTCATTGGTTATGTTTGGGGTGAGAGCTTGTAGGTGGATGAACCTTCGCTAGTACTCTTGGAGGGGTTCCGTCTCTCCCTTTGCAGCTGAAAAGGTCCATTAGGTGGTTGGGAGCGAACTGACGCCCTTGAAGTTGGAGAATAGTTTGTCGCGAAGGTCGCCTTAAGATTCGATGGATAAATAAATATTTCTACATAATAAAAATCCTTCCGGCTCCTAAAAATATCTAGCTCCATCACTGTATACTCTAGTCATGTATGCATGTCCTCATGCATGATCATTGTCAATTTGAACACCTCCCTATATTAAAATCCTAGCTCCGTCCATGGACATCGCAGACTTGCGGTTTTGAGATGGAGGATGAAGGCAAAGGGGGAAGAGATGACGATGACTGCCAGATCCCACCATAGGTCGACATGTGGGCTCTATTCATATGTGGGACCCACCAGTCAAGTCTTAAGCCACAAGAATCCACCACAACCCACCAAGTTGAGGCATGGAGCGGGTCCGGACAAATTAGGGGACCGGGACTTACATGGTATTTTAAGATTTTTTTTTTTTGAAATGGATATTTTTAGATTTTAGAACCTAAATGACACCTAAGACATGTTTCGAGGGACTAGAGAAGACCTGAAAATACATTGTCGGAGTTTGAGGAACTAAAATTACCCCGTAACAAGTTTAGGGACCGCCAATATTTTACTCAATAAAAGTTCACAGCCACTACACCCAAGATAGCTTAAGTTAGAACGTCTCTCAACGAGCAAATGACGATGTAATAATGCATTAATCATCCTTGTAAATGGCATCAAGAAGAATGCTTCCCTGCATAGGTATAGATTTCCTCTGTAGTTCAAAGCTTGCACAGTGCGGATGCTAGAGATGGCACTGTGCCTAAACATACTGGTAAAATGAATACTCATCAAAACATTAGACTAATCAGTGAGCCTCAAATAAAAGGCCAGGCCAATAACATGCTGAAAAAGCTCGATGGTAATAATTAACTTCTGTTATGATCCTTAGATCATTTGGGGATAATATGGATAACCATTGCCAAGAAGATGACCAGGCAAAGTCGGCGTTGAGGGAATTGGATTGTTTGTTCTTTCTTCATTCCCCTCCTTCTGGGTACATCACCTCTCTTATAGAGAGAGGACTCATGGCCACCTAAGGAAGGCCAAATCATAACAAATCATATCCAATCCTATCTCTAAAGGGGCAGACGCAGTGCCGGAGACTCCCACATGAGTGGGGTCTGGGGAAGGGATAAACCGAGACAAAGCCTTTCCCCCGCAAAATATGCGGAGAGGCTGCTTCGAACGCACGACCTGGTGACTCAGTGAGACAGCTCTCACCACTGCACCAGGCCTGCCCTTCTCTAATTGACCCAAATCTATCTCTATCTCTAACTCATCAAATGCCTCTAATTGATCCTGTGGCCCTGATTGATGCCCCATAACAGCTTCACATTCGTCTGACCAACAATGCTTTGCCATCATGTAGAGCATCTAAGATATCGTGACATGTAACATCAGCAACGTCTTGATTCTTGGAATCCGATATTATTCTATCTCCCTCGGTTACAGAGGCGAGTGCAACTCCATCAAGAACACCAGATATAAGATTGTCATCAACATTTTCTCTGAGTTGATTCTTTGAAGTTGCACAAACTGCTTCAGCTTGATCAGCAAAGAGATACTTTGATTCAGAAGAGCTGCAGATGTCTCTGTAGGTATCATACTTTGCAGCTCGTGTTTGGCCTCCTTCCAATATCGTTGACAGGGGGTGTAGAATTGAGATAGCACTATCTGCCCTCTCCAAAACAGCCTTCAAATCCAAGAAATCGTTTACGGACTCTTGTTTCTTGAACTGCACAAGGGCAGCAGTGGAATCAATGGAGAAGACGGTTGTAACCGAACCTGAACCAAATACTTTGCAGACGCAATCCTTAATTTCCTTTGGTCTAACCTTAGACGGGAATCCCCAGATGACAATGATGTTATCATACACAGCAGCAGGGTACCTTCTCATATAACCTGGTTCTGGTCTCTCCATGCCAGTGCTCAAATCAATCACTGTCCCACTGTTCCAGCTAGGGGACAAAAAATTGATGTGTTTATGCAGCTTAGTGTTCGTTGCTAGGTTTTCCAGAGGTGAGAACTGCTCAAATTTTATGCCAAGATAAGCGCACAACTGCACAAAAATACATCCAGTCATGTATGCATCATACCCAGCTTCATGCTTGGCACCTGAAATGAAGCAAGAAGACCTGCAGGATAGCATGGCAAACAAAAGAGTACTCGGTCACTATGTTAATTTGTGAACCAACTAGGTTCAATTAAATGGAAAGCTCATAGCAATGTTCTCTGTACATGCCAAAGAAGTTTTGTGCAAGTGTGTTAAATGTTATCAAAAGCATGCAAGTGTGTCAAATATCAAGGATCCAGACAAAACGTACGTCGTTTCATCTCCTTCAACTTCAATTGTCACAGGAGGATGACTGGATGGCTTCTCAGCAGATGAATAAGATGCAGGGCACAACAATGAGAAAGCTGAAGATAGTGATTTGCTTTTATGCTTCATCAGTTTCTGAACTGCTTGATTGACAGACATAAGATGCCTGGTATCTGCAATGTGTGGGAAAATTTTGTGGAAACTTAACGCAAATTCCTTGATAGATGATGGAAGAGGACCTACAAACTTGCTGTACACTTGTGCAATATCTGTTTGAACACAAAAGAAAATTTTAAGAAGCAGGAAAGTTAGTTAGAGAAATCAACAGTTCAGTTGGTATCTATCGGTCCAAATTCACAGAACATCTGAGCAGAAATTTCCATGGCAGAAAATCATAAATTTTAAAATTTTGACTAGCAATATATATAAAAAATATATTATTTAAATGTTGGTCGAAGTTAAGGAAAAAGGTCTGACTTGAGAGTTGAGACAAACGAATATGACTTATATTTATGATCGGAAGTATCTGTACGCACATAAGAGAACTACCTAGGAAACAACTATGTCCAACAATCAATTTCCTTTCTGATGAAAGAAGGTCGATGACATGGCGGATGCCTATTGCTGATTTAACTCTTTCTTCCCTGTTTTTTAGTAGATCTTCCTGAACATCTTTCTGCATTGAAGTAGAAACACCTACAGCTTAGATTAATGGAATAAGGACCATAAAGATAGTGATTTTTCATAGATTGAGCCTCTTCAATTTAAAGATAAAAGGAAAGGACCAGTGCCAGTTCCAAAATTTGGATTGCATCATTCAAACTATGACCTCCAGCTTTTGCAATAGGTTTAGTGCAGATAGAAAATTTAATGAATCATAATAAATTCTCTTACCATTAATAATATTCTGTCCTCATCAGTGACTGAATAAACTACTTTCTTTTCAGATGTGTCATCCTCACCAGATGTACAGACAAAAACAAGATCCTTAAAGTTTTTTCTCAAAACCTGCATGGGAAAACATGCTATATGAGCAGAAACAGAAATAGTGTACCAAGAAGCATTATTAATGTAGTAAAACATTGTGCAACAGAAAACACAATTAGTATGAAAATATCCTAAATTCAACATGGCAGAGTTACTAGCAAAATGACAACAGCCAAAAGTGTTGGACTTGGACAAGGACAATCTTACAAGGATTGATGAATACCTTTGATGTTTTAGAAGTGAAAAGTATCCATTCTCTTTAATGTTATAGTTAATTAAAAAAAGAGATATGTCTATGTTCCTAAAGTGTCCCGACCCACATTCAGCACATGCTACATTGTACAGGTTATGAGAATTTGGCCATTGGTTACTGTAAGTGCTTTAGGACACAATAAATTGGACAAATTTAATGAAGTAGCAAGAGACAACTTTAGTAGGGGCATGTCTTCTTTTTATTTTTTGTCATAAGCACGTGTAAGTCTAACACACCAAATAAAGAATAAAAAGGAGGATCACATAAGAACACTATTCAGAATTTCTTAAATGATATAACTCAGGAAGGACTACAGTATCTTATCACAAATTAGCTGCCCAACTATAACTATATTCCAAGGTAAAGACTATGTTCTACCTGTTGAATCAACTTCAATTGATGCGATGAGAATCCATTAAGCATAATAGCTGGGCGCATTTTGAAGAAAACTGTCTGGAATTGTCCTGCACAACATTTAATGTTTCCTGACAAATGGTTGTCAACCATTGGCTTGCTGACTATCACATCACGCCATTCCTTGAAGTTCATTTTCATCCTTTCTGTGAAAAGAATATCAGAAGCACTTTTTAAAGGTATGTCTCTGTCCTCTTCAGAATTGGTGGAAGATGTAGCTGTTTGGCCATGATACAACATATTAAATTTGTGTAGCGCCTCTTCCTCTTGTGCTCTGGATAGATAAGATACTCCTGAGATTAACCAAATATTGTAAATGAACAAATGCTCCGGGAATAACATGCATGGAGCATGGTCTTTCTATAATGTACTGGACAATGAAGAACTATAAAACGAGTAATGTGTGATAGGCACATCTTGCAATCTCCATTGAGAGAGAAAAGGCATAGAGTAACAGCTTAGCAAAATATTATAGGTAAAAGAAAGCACCTTCACGGAAGCATGTGTTGAAATCAAACTGGTACTTTGCTAGGAAGTCAATTGAAGTTGTCTGACAAAGAAATTCATGAGATGAACAATCACTAGGGAGCTCCTTGCGAGGGAAGATATAGAAGTTATGCCTGCGAGAAGAAAAAGGGATTCTTCAAAAAAAGAAGAAAAAGGTTATATCCGGAAAATAAGTCAACTGAAAGCTGATTAGCAAGTGATCAAGCAATCAAGAACTGACGTTGAATTAGAAAGCAGTAATAAGGCAATAACTCAATCTACTGCAAAGTGAAAACCATCACAACTAAGGATGTGTTTGGTTGGTTGGATTTCCATGGATGGGATGGGACCATCCATGGATGTGTAGTGTTTGATTGGAGGACTGGATGGGATTGGATTGTATTGAAAAGGGTATATTCCATGAAGATGCTGGATTTGTTGGCCCCAAAAAATCCTGCGGACCAGCTGCTCCACACGCCCGCCCGTCCATGACCGAGCGAGGCCTCGTGCTTCGTCTCACCCTCCCGTTCCTCACCGCTCGCTTCTCTCGTGTTCTCTTGGCCTGGCGGTCTGGGCATCGAGCGTCCTCCTCCGCCCCTTCCCCGACGGTCGCCGGCAGCCCTACCCCACCAGTCGCCGGCAGCTGCCTCTCCTCCGGCCCTTTCCCGACGTCCGCGACCCATGCCCTACCCGGTGTCTTCCAAGGAGACAGGTACGACGCCCTCTTCCCCTCCCCCTTCCCTTCCCTAATCTTTTGGAAAAGGATCTTCATAAACCCAGCACAGATCTTACAATGTATTGATGATTTGCCTGTCAATGTGTTCATGCATTTGGATTAACATAGATCTAGAATTGTAATGTGCTTATATTGTTTTCCTATGCTCAGATCTGAATTTTCTCTCAGTTTTTGTGATGGACAAGAGGACCAAGCTGTTGATCTATGCGGCTGCAGCACATATGCTGCTTTCCATGATGGCAATTGTCATTCAGTCTAGGAAAAGAAAAAGGAGTCACCGTAGACTGGGAATTACCTATGGGCCAATGGAAATAAGGGATAGAATGAGAATTGATTATCTAGAAAATAAAATATGGAAGAATGACACAACTTGTGTTAACATGCTTAGGCTCAGAAAAGAGTCTTTCTTCCATTTTTGTAAACTTTTTTGGGATAGTGGCCTCCTTCAAGACACCATACATATGTGTGTTGAGCAGCAAGTAGCTATGTTTTTAAACACAGTGGGTCACAACCTTAGAAATAGACTAGTTGCCACTAATTTTGATAGATCCGGTGAAACTGTGAGTCGTTATTTTCACTTGGTCCTTCATGCGGTGGGTGAGTTAAGAGGAGAGTATATAAGGCCACCTTCATTGGAGACCCCAACCAAATAGCAAGGAACCCAAGGTGGGATCCTTATTTTAAGGTGTGAACCATAACTCGATTTCAGATTTGTAGTGTCTTAATTCTATTATTTAATGTGTTGTGATCCTTAAAAATAGGATTGTATTGGGGCTATCGATGGCACACATGTACGAGCTTCTGTTTCTAAGGATATGGAGCCTTCTTTTCGTAGTAGAAAGACCCATTGTACCCAAAATGTAATGGCAGCGGTACATTTTGATCTTCGGTTCACATATGTGTATGGCTTGCTGATTTGTAATAAGACATGAGTATGGCTGGCTGTTTTTTTCATTGTATTGTTATAAAGACATAAGTGTGGCTTGCTGATTTGTAATAAGACATAAGTGTGGCTTGCTGATTTGTAATAAGACATGAGTATGGGGCGCTTTTTTTATAGTGTGATAAAGTCATGTGTTGTCATGTACGGGCGCACCTATAGGCGCCGTCGTGACGCTAGGAGGGCTGCGGAGCACGCGGCCAAGGCAGGTGCCGCCGTCAGTGGCTAAGTTTAGAAAGATAGGATTTAGTTTCCTTTTGCATGCCTTAATTATAGGAGAGTTTGTTTGGGCCATTGGCCATATATGCCGTGTAACAGACTTGGAGAGAATTAAGCAAGATCAATTACCCTAACGTTGCTCCTCTCTCCCAAACTCTCTCAAGCCACCGGTGAGATCTTCTCACGGTGAAGGCCTGGAGCGCGACTACGAGTTGCGTAGCCGCGGTCCGGCGACGTTGAGCGTTGAGGCGCTTGACATGTGTATGGCTTTCTGATTTTTTCATTGTACTATGATGAAGAGTTGAAGACATGTATGTCATGCAGATTTTTTGCTTGCAATCAGATTTTTTTTAATGAAGTGACATTATGCTAGGGAAATGGAGTTTGAGACAACTGGGGAGCAGGCTGATGGGAGTGGGCATGTGACATGGAATCCTGCACTGTCTTCTTTCATGCTTTCTTACCTAGCCAATGTGGTGGCTAGTGGCAAAACATCAACAGGTTTCAAGAAAGTCCATCTGAACTCTTGTGCTAAAGCTCTGAGTGACCATTTCAAGATCAAGAGGACTGGGGAGCAGATTGCTAACCATCTTAGATATTGGAAGAGGAAGTATGTGAAGATTAACAAACTCAGGGCCTTGAGAGCTGCCTTATGGGATGAAGACAACTTTGTGATTTCACTTGATAATGAGCATTTTACAAGCTACATTGCAGTATTCTTGCTGCCAAAATTCTTAATTATAATAATATGCAGTTTTGTATCATACATGGTTTGCCTATTATTGTTGGTCTAATAGTTTGTGTATGCATTGTAAGGACCATAAAGCTGATGCTGAATATTATAACAAGCCGATTGAGCACTATGGTGAGATGGCAACAATCTTTGGTGCTACTGTGGCCACAGGGAAGTATGCAAAGGGATCAAATGAGCCACTAGCAACTGGAATTGGTGATAATGAACAGCCTGAAGATGGTGGGGATGGTGACACTGCTACTGTTGGTAATGATGGAGAAACATCTTCAGCTACCAGACCTAGTAAAAGAGCCAGGACATCTGAAAAGGAAGATGATGGACTGATAGTAGCAATGACAGCTGTTGGGGAAAGGCTTGCTTGTGCCATAGAGAAGGCTGGAAAGGACAAGGAGCTTCCTGATGAACTAGAAGATGCAGCGTACAGTCTTTCTGGCTTTGATGACACTCATTTAGCATTTTATCATGAGCATTTGGTTGACCATCCAAGCAAAGCTAAAGCATTCTGTGCTCTCACATTCAGCCGCAGGCTAATTTGGGCTGCAAAGTTCATTACTGAGCACTTCCCACCTGCAAATTGAAGATAGGGTTGCTATGCATTGTTGTACACATGACTACTGCTGCACTTATTTTGCTTGTATCCCATGAACAATGCACTGTGGGTTATTATCTATTTTGTAGCAGCTGTGTAACCCATAAACAATGCACCTTGGGTTCGTACATATTTTGTAAAAGCTAATGTGTGCATGTTAACGTGAGATGAATGTTAACCTATTTGGATATCTATCATGTGTTCTGTGATATATTCTGTACCCGTGTGTATGTTTCAAGCATAAGGGGGTAACCTCACCAGTTTGGGCAAGAGGTCACCACATCAGTTTGTCCACCCCCATTCATCCAACCAAAAAGAAAATTGGCTCATCCCATCCAACAGATATCCTTCCAACCAAACAGAAAAATGGCTCGTCCCATCCATCCAACCAAACATGCATCATGGATATCCTTATCCCTATATCCATGGATGGCTATATCCCATCCAACTTCGTCCTCGAACCAAACGCACCCTAAGATACTGAAAGAGGGAATGTTATTGTATGATGAAAAGACTGATACAGACAGAGAGACAGAGCAATCTATATTGGGCATGGGTAGTGTTGGACATGTGTCAGGACCGGGGCCGGGACCCCATAAGTTAATACAATTTCCACTGGAAATTTTTAAATTCGATCAAATTTTGACAAAATTTGTACTGCTCTCACCCCTAACAAAGGAAATGCCAGAGCAGCATGAGTGTGCACCACAGTAGACGTAGACAAAACTACCACACAGGTTCTGCAGAGTGGCTGTGCAACCTAGTTTGGCAATCGGAAGTTTCTGCAAGGTAAAACATGTTCATGATCCATTTTTTTATCAACAATTCAACATTTTCCTTAGGTTTCTCAGAACTCCATTTCCGTTGCTATCTAGTATGAGCTTATCACTGCGGAGCATTGCACGAAGCATAGTAAGCCAAACTAATACTGAGTAGTTGTTTTCTCACACCTGCTAAAAAAACAGCCCCCAATGTGGCTCTCCTAAATATCACCGAAACTTTCTACAGGAAATAAGGCCAAAATGTTGCCTGCAGCACAAAAATGTGCTAGTCGCAACCCCCCAAAACCTCAATAAGATATTCAGAATCCTTAGCTACTAATGGGTTACTAGAACATGAAGAAGATTGGGGAGAGAGAAAGAGGCACGCACGGTTGGGCAACGAAGGCGGATTTGGCAGGGTCCCATCGGAAGGGGCAGACGCCGAGCTGCAGGGCGGCGAACCGCTCCGCGGAGTCGCGGAGTTTGAGGTAGCGCACGTCGGCGCGGTCGAGCTCGAAGGTGTCTCTCCAGGGCGCGCTCGTGACGCCGCTCATCTCCAGGTCCACCCCCACGAATGCGGCCTCCCGCACGCGTCCCCGCAGCTTCTCCAGGGCCTCCGCCATGTTCCCCCGCGTCACCTGCTTCACCGCCACCCCGCTGCCGCAACCGCCAACGCCAACGCCGTCGCCTCCGGGCGGCGGGGAGGAGATCGCGCGGTAGAGTAGGATTCTGGGCGGCGGCGCCCGGAGGACGCGCCGGAGGCGGCCCTGCATCTGCATGGCCGCCGCCGTTGCTGGAGGGTGGAGCGGTGAAGGCACGCGGCGGTGGGTTGGGCTTGATTTGGTCTGATGGATGGGTGGAGTTCTGCTTACCATATGGCCCATCTTATGGAGTTCTAGACTTGGGCTGTATCTGAAGTTTCGACATTGTTGCAGCCCGGTTTTTATTTGATTTATTATTACGCCAAAAAAAACAGTGTGGATCAAGCCTAGATAGGCAAAGTCAAGCTGCTTGCAATTACATCCAACTTATTGAACATATCTTGTGCACTAAAATGTAAAATCTGTATTTATTTTGAGATGGTTCGGTCACAAAGAAACAGCAGCATGGGGAAGTTGCTGGTCAGGTAAACAAAACGACCGATCAAAACTCTGCGGAAGGGTGGATTTCTGATTGCACCGCTCCATTGTCTCCCCTACACAAAATGATGCAACCCGGAGCTGCGTTTCTCGCTTATTCTGCTTGCTCTTCTGCGTCTTTACTCTTTAGGTAGCACCAGCGTGCGAGATATCTTTGCCGAAAAGCCCAGTGATTGCTTTCCCTGGATCCTCCTGCTTGATAAGGGATTCCCCGACGAGAACCTACAGCAGACACAACGGAGGAGTCAGATCAGTACGAAGAGCAAGGAATGCCAAGTCGCCAGTTGAGCCTGGTGTCAGTTTACAGGTATCTCTGTCTCATGGCTTACCGCTTTGACCCCAGCGTTTTGAACGAACGAAATGTCATCAGGAGTGAACAGCCCAGATTCTCCTACAACCTGATACATTGAAAAGAACGTGAATGCTCGATGCAAGTACTACTTCCTGTTTAGATGACATTAACAATGTGATAACTGTCCCAATTGTAGCGAAGATGTCCCAATTTACTAAGTAAACATAGTTGTAGAATATTAGCATTGCAAGGTTAGCATTGTACTTCACCGATTCATTCTATCTGTTTGTATAAGAATCTGTGCAACAAGGTACGATTTGTGAAAGTGTGATATTTGAATAGCTCTGCACAGGTAACATGGAGCGCGAATAGACGAAACCAGAGACAGAGGAAGCATACTTTCTTTTTCTTTTTTTTGCTTTTCACTAGACTCTGTCAAAGAAAAGACTTACAATTACATCCTTTTGAGCTATAATTTGTCCTCGTTCACCCTCCAGAAGCTTTTTTGTGTTTGTAATATCAACTTCAAATGTCTCTGGAAAAGGAAATGTCCTCAATGACTCATTCAGCCTAATAACATGATATGGAGCATTACAGTAGAATCTTCATAGTAATCTATTCCAACAGTGATCACATTATCATGTTATGTCTAGATTGGCCATACATTCCCCCCCAATCACTAATTTACTGTGCAATAGAATCTTCATAGTATGGTGATGTTTGAGATGCATAAGCCAATGGTTTAATACCCTGAATGAATCAACAAGCCTCCAGGAGATAAAATAGACAAAAGACTAGGAACTGAATTCAGTGTTAAAAGTATAATAAAAACATCGTACCAAGATTACGGTTATTGATGCCGATGAGCTGTACACCATCGATCCCTAAAACACGGTCCATTTCCCTTTCATCATGAACCTTCAATAACACAGTCCAGTTGAATCGCTAAATGAAATGACTCATGACTCAAGAGAAACAAGAGGTGGCTGTTGAAACAACAAATAAAACATATAGCAAGAACAACTCAGCTAACCTCAACTAAAGCAGCCATCCCAAGTATTTTGCAAATTTTCAACATGTATTTGATATCACGGTCAGGTAATACAGCAGCAATTAGAAGAACAGCGTCTGCGCCCTTGGACCGTGCATAGTAAAGTTGCCAAGCATCAACAATGAACTCTTTGCACAGAAGAGGGCACTGCATTTAGTAATTCAGAACTTGAGCTATTCATGCACTTAAAAGACCCTGTCAGGATATCATTCATTTCCCAAATCAAATGTACGTATGTGATTTGGAGACAGCACCTGGACTCCAGCATTGCGAATAGCCTCCAAGTTGTTAAAACTTCCCTGATTACATATTAAAGGAAAACAAGTGTCTTCAGCATATATAACTTATTGATGATATAAATGAGACAGAACTTCCCAAGGTGAAGAAATAAATGACCTGAAAGTACTTTTCATCTGTAAGAACACTAAGGCATGCTGCTCCGTTTTTCTCATATGCCTGAGCGATCTGAACCTGTTTATGTCCCAACAAGCATTATCAGACGGCAAGAGAAACTGTTTGGTTTCAAAACAACATCATGTATGTCCATTCGGATTTCAGAATGTCAACAAGTAAAACCAATCACTATCACTAGGCACTATTCAAAAGCAACATGAATCAGATGACTTCTACCCACTTATTTGCCGTTTTTTTTGGCAGGTGTGCAACATATATGGGCCAACTTCAATACTTGGCTATTCCAATCTTTGCTTCTCAAGGTACATAGCACATGCGAGATGTAAAGGAATGGCACCCTGGCATACTCAGGTTCCGTTGTGTTAGTAATTACTATTTGACTTATTATGTCACTGTCAACAATCAGTTCAGTAAATAGTAGTATATCAGATTCAAATTAGTGCAGTTCCACAAATGAGAACCCAGGACAAAACACAAGGATCAATTCGCATATATAACAAATATACGAACTTATACCTAACAAGAAATGAAATGATCGGATTTACTCCTGCCAAAATTTAGCCATACACTGAACTCACCGGATCAAAATTCTCCCTGATAACACCCCGGCTTGGTGAAGCCTTCTTGACCTCCGCAATCAGAGCAGGCAAGCCAGTCCGATCATCGGACGCCTTGAGCGCCCCAACGAAGTCCCTGGCGGGGGGAGCAGCATCAAGCGGGCCCTTCAGCATGTACAGGGGCCTCCTCTCCTTCATCTGCCAGCACAAAAAAAAACTCACACAGCGTCAGCACGAGGCTAACCCCACGCGCGGGCTTATCATCACCTCACTCTCGTCCAATCATCCAGACGTGCCTGCGAAACCTCTACGTCCTTGTCCCAGATGATCTTCTCGAGGATGTTCCGCGGCGTGTTCCCCTCGTTCTCGAGGCGGAACTGGAACGGACCCACGTAGTGCACCGCGGGCCCCGTCACGGGCCGCCGCCGGATCCTTATCCCGTCGACGCCCGCGACCTCGGCGGAGTCCACGGCGCCCGCCACGGGGCTCCCGTTGCCCCCTTGCTCCGTGTCCATGGTGGCCCCCGCGTCGGCCGCAGCGTGCGAGCTCGTCGCGACCTCATCCACCTCGGCGTCCTGCACGACACAACACGACACCCACCCGAACCTCACAACTCGGAATTCGAGGCGAACCGAGATCGAGAGCGGTAGACACGGGGGATCGAGCGCGGAAAGCTGACCGTCTCCGCGCTGGTGCAGCGGATAGGCGCGGGGCTCGGGCGGCCACCGGCGGCGGCGGCGTCCATGGAGGCCGCCGTGAGGGGGCGCTTTGCTGCGGTGGCGGTGGCGGCGAGGGTTCCGAGGCGGCGGAGGTGGGAGTACCTTGCGAGGGCAGCGAGGCCCGGCCGGGGAGGCGCGGATCCGATAGCTAGTGCTTCCATCCGAGGCGCCCGCAGCCGCAGCCGCAGCGCAGAGCAGAGGCTGGCTGGCTAATTGGATTGGGGTGGGCGTTAGCCGTTGGGCGTCGTACACTTGCGAGCCTTCCCGCTGCTGTACCGGTGGCGTCTCAGTCTACAGGTGCCAGTCGTCCACGATACGCGGTCAAGCGCTAGCAGCGCCTGCATCAGTTGGGCAGGGACTGGGCCTGGGGGAGAGGGCGCGTGACACCCGCGACAATTGAGACATGACAACCAGAGCAGTCCATCACAAGCTTCTGAAACTGAAAACTGCAGCATAGCAAAGCGCAGAAAATTCACAAGAAACGCATCCATTTTGTAGAAACCGAGAGAAATGTAAGGCGCCGAACAAGAAAATAAGGGGTCCTTGCCACGTTCCATGCCAAAAGTTGGTGATGTGTGCACTAACAGGCGCACAATTGGCACATACAGACTACTAGAGAATGCCACCAGTGTTCTGGATAGTATGCACTGATTCTACATAAGCAAATGGCCAGCGATAGCACTGCAACATCATTACATAAGGGAATACCACTGACAGTAGTAGGCTACAACCAAAGCGTGTCACCCTGCATCCTTGCAAGATGCCCCCTCCAAGCAAAATGCCAATGAGCACACTGGCAGCACATAGAAAAACCACACAACATCTGTTCGATTCGTTTGCAAGGTTGTTCCTGCATATTCGAGCAGCATCCCTGCTCAATCCCTGATCTCTGTGGCATAGATTCGGTACGTTCTGCTGCCCCAGATATCGTTTTTGTCCTTATAGTATGACATCAAGCAACACCATATCCAAGGTGGATTCCTGGTCAAGGGGGCACCTTCCTCGCTGTCTTCTGGTTCTGGATTGCCCAGTAGCTTGTTCATCTTTTTTTTAACAGTTTCTTCGGTCAGAAAACCACCGAAGAATTTGACCTGCCAAGGATTCAGATGAAGACATGATCACCTAATTCAGCTAGACGTTTAAGCATCCATAACCCTTTTACCACCAGCACTGATTTTTTTTTCACTAGTGATGAATGTGGACACCTGGGGCGGTCTGTAGACTGTAGACTGTAGACAAGGAAATCAAGCATAAGGGTTATTTACTAATATATTACCATCTCATCCTTATGGACGAACGCATGAATTCTCGCTGTAGGATCCTCAAGAGTCAACCGCATACAATGTCCAGTTGAAAGCAAAAAATGGACTTCACTAGGATGACATGGATATGCTCCCACAACACGGACCAAGGTTTTCAATTTGTGTGTCACCTAGCACGAAGAAAAAGGAGATATTGAAGCCGGTTAGCTTTAGAGTCATATAGTTCAGAACACTCACGGTTCTGTATTAATTAGGGAAGCAAAATATATAGTTTTCTCTTGAAAAGGAAGAGAGAAATCACTGGGATACAACTTAAAGTAAACATGCTCGCATGTTCTCAGGGGTGTTGGATAATATTAGACCAAATCGAAAACAGAAATAAAACTAATAAATAACTGGAGAAAAGTGGGAAAGAAGTAATACCTCATCATGAGTTAAAGACTCCATTAACGTTGAGTAACCTGCTTTCTTATATTCTACATCTACACCTGACAGAATTGATAACAAATTGTCATGAGGCAAAGCCTTTGTGGGCAACAGATGGCAGCAAAAATGCATTACAACTTTATGCAGCGCTTCATCATCAATATAATACATGTAAACAAGCACTTTGACAAGATCATGTGCTTCATTTAGATCTCCATATATACATACCACACGAGAAAAAATATTGAAGTTTGTTTTTATGCACAACATTCATAAGCAAATAAAACGGAGGGATGCTATATTATACACTTATTCAGGTAACAATGAAGATAAGGCCTGATGAACAAACTTAAATATTGCTATTTTAATCAATTATAAATGCTGAATCAGAAGCTAAATTCATGATCTGAACAATGAAACAGAATATGTTCATCAGTGATTCAGAGGAGCAGTGCAAACTATCGGACTATGCTCTATACCAGTAACATTAGAAGGGATGCCTGTCATCGGCCGGCGGTGAACTTTGTTGGCGTTGCGGCTGTCATACATCCTGGAGGTGTTCATGTAATTGGTAAAATTTACTTATATAATGTCCAAAGAACATTAAAATTCATCAGAAAAGAAGATTACTTCAGACGATCAACGACACTACCATCTTCATGAGATAAAAGGCGAACTCTACTAGTGGCCAGCAAAATGCCTTTCCAAATGCCAAACTCTTGCTTGCAAGTAATATTGCAGAACCTGGCCCAATAAATACCCTTTTGCATGTGTAATACTTCCTTGATAAACCTGTTTGAATAAATCCTCAGAACAGTTCCGACACATGGCATTGTGCACAAAACCTCCCTGGGTAGAGGTGGTCCTTCAAGTAGAGGGGGTGACTGAACTGCCTCAGCATCCAAACTATATGTTCACCAATCAATAGCAGAGAGGCACAAAAAAAGGTAAGTTAAATGAAAATAGTGACGTGACTGACATCAGCAAATGTTTTTCTAAGATAAGACTTATTTTCTTTTCATTGACCATGCTTAAGTTCAGTGCACCATATAAGAACAACCAAATAAAGATTAAAAGCTGCAACAGTATTTCAAAAACACTAGATAATCCTATATTGTATAGATGGTTTTCTTAGTTATTGCTGAAAAAATTATTAGAAACAATAAATAAACATAGATAATCCTACATTGCCTGAAACTCAGCTGCAGGGGTATCAGTTCCATCCCAAACATAAAAAATCCATTTGCCGCTATCTTCATGGACATGAACAACCTATAAGAAGGCAGAGGGAATTTTTGGAGCACTCCCTGTACCAAAATAAGTCTTGAGTTTCAATATGATTGAATAAAGAACTAACCTTGCATACTAGATCAAAAGTAGAATCAGACTTTAAACTCCTTAACTGCAATTCGAGATCTTTGAGACCTGTGGTGCAAAGTAGTTAGATAGAAACAGATGTTACAAAAGTTGCTGGTAAAGCATTGTTAGGGACGTACTAATTAAGTATTTCATGAATCTTTGCGCGGAAACAAAGATAGACAAAGAATACATGCTATAATAAAAGGTATATATCCTAAAGAACGAGAATAGCATATATCACTTGTAGGGAGAGCAGATAGTTAAAAAATAATATGATTTCACTGCAAGAAGCTGACAATCTACAAAATAGGAACAATTGTAGACAACAAAATTCAACCTGTTGTGTTTGATTGAAGTTGCGTTGGATTTGCGGTCATACAAGAAAGGATCGAGTTCGGAACGATGATATACGTGATAGATTAGGGGTAGCACCAATTGAAGAAGGGTTATTTTGATTTATGCCATTATAATTTTCGATGTTTGGAGAAACGCCATTACTATTAAGCTATTTTCAAGCATGCCATTACAATTCTTCGTTTCCCACAAATATGCCACAGAATACGTATGGACACGGCCTGGGCCCAGCTGCAGGCGTATACGAAGACGTATACTTCATCGCAGCCTCTCTGCCCTGTCACTGACACGCGGGCCGCACAAGTCATCTTCTTCTTCCTCCTCTCCTCCTCTTCCCTTGCTGAGCGCGTCGATGGCGATGGCGGCAGCAAGAAGACGCTGGGCCGTGAGCGGAGTCTCGCGGCTCGGGCGGCTCAGCGGCCGCCTCGATCTTGGGCGCCGCTCCCTCGCCATGAGCCCACCGCCGCGCAGCGAAGCTTTCGGCGCTCACGAGCCCGGCCTCCCCGCGACGCGCCATGGCCCGCAGCCTCCGCGCCTGGCTGCCGGCGCGCCCGCCACAAGCTCGAGCTTTGTTGCTTATTGCGGCCGCTTCGCCGCTTCGCTGCTCGCCTGGCCTCCTCCCGAATGCCATGGCCGGAGGGAGCTCCAGCTAAACCTCTCTCGACGCCGACAACCATGGCCGCGGCGCTTCGCCCCTCTCGCCGGTGCTCCCGCCGCAAGCTTCGGACACCAGCTGCAGCAGCTCTCCCTCGCGCCACGAGCCCGGTCTCCCGAGACAGCGAGCAGTATGGCCCGCATGGCCGCTCGCGCCTCGCCGCCAGCGCCCCGCCCCGCCGCGCGGCTTCGGACACCAGCTGCAGCGGCTCGCCCTCACGCTTGCGAGCCCGCCGCGTGCTTCGTGCGTCGCCCGATTCGCTTTGCGCCCGCACCGGCCATGAAGCTCCGCGGCGCCGCGTCCTCGACACCGCCGCAAGCCGCGAGCTCCGCCGGCCGCGTCTTTGCTCATCGCTTCTCGCCATCGCCATCGACGCGCTCAGCAAGGGAAGATGAGAGAAGGAAGAAGAAGATGACATGTGGGGCCCGCGTGTCAGTGATAGGGGAGAGAGGCTGCGATGAAGTATACGTCTTCGTATACGCCTGCAGCTGGGCCCAGGCTGTGTCCATACGTATTCTATGGCATATTTGTGGGAAACGAAAAATTGTAATGACATGCTTCAAAATAGGCGAATAGTAATGGCGTTTCTCCAAACATCGAAAATTATAATGGCATGAATCCAAATAACCCATTGAAGAAAAGCTTGTCCAACACCGGTTGAGATGGTTTGGACATGTCCAACGGAGACCTCCAGAGGCACCGGTGCGTAGTGGAATCCTAAGCCAGGATAGTAACGTGAAGAGAGGCAGAGGAAGACCGAAGTTGACTTGGGTAGAGGCAATAAAAGGATACTTGAAAGGATGGAATATACCTAAAGACTTAGCCTTAGATAGAAGTGCTTGGAAAACAGCTATTCACATGCCTGAACCTTGATTGCTTCTATTGGGTTTCAACTCTAGCCTACCCCAACTTGTTTGGGACTTAAAGGCTTTATTGTTGTTTGTTGTTTGTTTGTTTGTTGTGTTTGATTGAAAGGCAGGCAGAGACTGACCTTAACTAAGGGCTAAAATGAGATAATGCAAGTTCTGATAAAACTCATAATTTATAAAATACTTAATTCCATTGGGTAAGAAGAGTTCATAAATAGAATGGCAGTAGTATACTATTTGATCCTACATAAATTCAAGTGAATCATGCTAATTGGTGGGACCAAGAAATAGGAAACTGAATTAGCCTTCCAGCCCCACAAGTATGATAGTTAGGCTGGCTTCTCATTTGGATAAGAACATGTTCACCACCATGATATTTCATTGACACATAAAACTGGAGTGGAATGAGCACGATTAAGGCACCACAGAAAATATCATGCAGATGGGTGGACCAAATAAATCATCAAAAGTAATTATCGATTAGGAGTCACCTAGAGGATTATATGCAAGCCACGTTCTCTGCTGGGTTAAAAGTTCTTTGTCATCTATGCTGCCACGATATTTCATAGAAGACTGGTATGGGCTGCACTCAGCAAATACTTTGCTTTCAAATAGCGCGAATGAAGAAAACTTTTTGTTAAATGTAACAAAGAACTCCCCATGCATTGTTATCTGCATATCAAAGTAGGCATGAAGTAGGTGTTGTCAAATGTGTTATGCTTAAATAACCACGCATAAAAAGGTATGTGGAAGTTTATAGCTCTGAGAAATACCCAGTGACAAATGGCATAATTTAATAGAGTTTTATGCTGTACCACGACGTTATGGAGACTGATCACATCTCCACTTGACTTAACACAGGGCAATAGGGCAGTGTCGTCAGCAAAAAATGTTGCAGACATTCCAGCCATGCGTGATTGATCCACAATCCTCAACGTAAGAGTGAAATCTGCAAAAACTATAGCCATGACCAAGGGTTCTAGCATTGATTTGAGTATCAAAAGTGAGACTTAGCAACGAACGTGACAACAGAAGGTCCCTCTCAGTGCATAATGCTTCATGCAAAAAGTTGCAAAAGAGCGATCTAAGGACAAGCGGACAAGCTAAAGCACGTGTCCCCTCACAACAAGCAAGCAACAATTTGAGCAGAGAACTAATCCTAATCAACACTATTCAACAAATCATTCCAAATATACACTTCTCTAATTTCACAGCGAAAAATCACAACGGAACCCCACAAATTTCCCTTCCTCCACAGCATTTGTGATCGAGAACAAACCCTAGGTGAACACTTTGTCAATCAGACTGAAGAATAACTGAAGAAGGAAGCATACAGCCTGCAACAGCTTAAGCACAAGCCGTCAACTCTCACCCTGCTAAAATCCGGACTAAACCCTAAGATGAGGCCGACGGCGGGTGCGCAGAAGGAGAGAAGGGGAGGGGTTGAGACTTGAGAGTGAGGCTCACCCGTGCCACGGCTGCGGACGGCTGTGCCGATCTCGGAGACGACGGCGAAGATGCAGACCCGGACGCCGGGAACCTTGAGGGCGTCGGCGATAGACAGGTACGTGTACTGAGGGTCCCCGGCCGCCGCCGCGGCGGAAGTAACCCCGTCGCCCTCACGCGGCCTCTTCCGCTCCTCCGCTGGTGCCTCCTCCATAGCTTGGGTGTGAGTGACTGTAGCGTGCTGCGAGCAATCCTGGACCTGTTTGATTTAAGGTGCTGTTTGGTTCACCACAAGGGACAGGAATTTCCCGCCGCTACCTGTTGCAAAGCAATGGATAACGCCATTTGTTTGGGAGTTCAGCAAAAGCAACGGGTGCTGCATTAGGGATAAGAATGCATACGAAAGAACACACGCACCTTTACCTGATCCTCCCAGATCCAATTGGTACAGGTCGTCCTCTCCCCATGCCCCTCTTGCAAAGCTTTCCTTTTTCACTGAAAATCCCATCAAAATCAAGAACAGAACCCACGGTTAGGGTTTAAGAAAAGTGTTGATGTCAAAGGAATAGGAGTGGGGGGAGGGAGAGGGGATGGGATAGGATGCGCCATTCTCACCGTTGAAGCCGGGCCGGAGCCGGAGAAGAGAGGAGCCGTGGAGATGCGGCTCGGGAGAGTCGAGGGGAGCGCGCCGTGGCGAGGACAGGGGCTGCGTGATGAACGGAGTGGAGGGATATTTAATTATTTATTAGTATTTATTTTTCGTTTGTCGTTATCACCGTTGGCGCCTCTTCAAAATTCTACTAGTCACGGCTGTCCGCGCCTCGCTGCGATGACGTGTTTGTATAGGAAAAATATTAAAAAATATGGCTTATATGTTTAATATATTTTTTTATCGTGTTCTTACGAAAGGTTGATATCTTTGGTACATTAAATAAGAAAATATGGGAAGGAAAGGTAATATGGTTTTTTTCATTACAACGTTGTAAACGAACATAGAGGTCGGTTGTCATTACGTGGTGTCTATTTTAGGCCAGCAAATCAATGATATGTTAGTGGAAAGAAGTATTTAATGGAGTTGGGCTCAAGCAACTAACACATTTAAATTTAAAGCACAACATTGGCTAGGATTACATTATAGGTGGAAAGAGCAAAAACTACAACACAATTACGTCACCTAACGTGAGGGGTTTACAAAAGAGTAAATTAGGATCCACTCCCTTTAGACGAAACTACAACATATTTCGTAAATCTAGAATTACACGAAATATTACGTACAACCAAGGCTTACTCTAGAAGTCGGGATAGACGAAGGCAATGCAGAAACAACAAGATAATAATTATCCAAAACATGGCATATGACCAACAGATCCAAAAACAGAAGACTGAGAAGTCAAACATCGTGAACCATAAAACCAAACTAACTAATGGTAGACTTGAACTTCTTTGAAAATCAGATCCCTTCTTCTCATATTACACCATCGCCTCTGTTAGACGAACCTAGTTCCACGATGACAACTGGATCTCGTAATTTTTGCTTCGAATTCGAGAGGGATGGGGATGAAGAAGAAGAGCAAGGACCAAGAGCATTTTATAGTGACGAATGGAGATGGGGCGCAGCGCACCAGAAGTGGAGACGGCATAGATGGGATACACTGCCGGTTCACGCTGTGAGGATAAAGTCGGTCATGGGCGCGCTCCCTGCGCAAGCGAGTGGAGGGGGGAATAAAGGAGAGGAGATAGGGTTCGCTCGACAAGGGAGGCGTGCAGGCGACCGTGTCCCCAAAAAAGAAAGAAGGGAGGGGGTCCGGTACGGGGATGAGGACGAGGATCAAGAGCAGATCGGAGGCCGGGAAAAGGAGAAGCGCACAGTGCACGAGGACGGCGAGTGTGACACGATGTCACAGACATGCGAGGACAGGGTGCTAATGGGCCCGACACCGACGGCGTCTGCAGGGAACGCGGTGACAGCGACCCGACGTGCGTAGCGTGGTCGAGCTAGGCACGGTGCTTAGGACTTGACATCCCCTCAGGCTTTTCTAAACACTCCCTACTACCAAAGGCTAACTTTTTATAGGTGTTCTCTTTTCTTCCCTTCCTTGTCCACAATATGCACCAACATTTGTATGAAGTGAGATCGTAGCATATAAGCTTCCTCCAAAACCACCTCTTGTTTACTTTGATAGAACACTATTTCATTAACCCGTTGTGGATTTTCTATTCAAACACCCGAATATTTGTATCAAAAGTGGTATGGCGGTGTAACTTGGTAAAGGTATTTGGTCAACAACCTCGATACCAGCGCGTGCCGAGCAGCGTCACCATGTGGCAGCTGTTCTATAGGGGCCCTCAGTTTTATCGCAGCACCATAAGCTATTAACCAGACAACTACTATCAACTTACACGCAATGAAGACGGTGGGATCATAGACCACAGAATCAGAGGAGTATTACAAGGAAAGATTCAAACAACAAGGGTTCCTTTCGTAACAAGGGACAAGGACTTCAAATCTAACAGCGGATTTGATTTAAAGATATTCAAGTGTTCTGCTGGGACATCTACAATTAGTCGATACAGTGTACTATGTTATCCAATCACGGCTGGTCTACTCGCATCTGAATGGTAATTTCTCTTGTAACCCACTTAACATCGCCCTCGAAAACTCTAAGCACGTCTAACGAGACTTAAGATAGATGGACGCAATAACACAGCGAAATAAATAAAATGCATATTCCGAACGTCCTTATGCTGGTACAATATTCAGGCACTTACTCTCCCATTCTCGACACATCGTTCACCTTTCCTACGATCGGACTACCTCAACAACTTCGGACGAAATATAACGGAAATATTACAATACCGATGGATAGCGACGAAAGACACTACTAACTATGGGTACATCACCCCAAGGCAACTAATCTACTTTGGACCACGCATCTTCATCTCCGGGCTCGGCGGATTCTTCTACTGCCCTAGCTATAGATCTGCCTCCTCTCTTGGCAACGGCTGAGTGAGATGAATCAAGGGTTCTACTTCTGACACTTCCGAGGGTGGAGGTGCTGACGGTACTGTAACACCGGTTCTCCTTCTTTCTAGCGGGTGGACAGGGATCCCCTCCACGATCAAGGGATCCTTCCATTCAGTAACTAGAGTCCTCCGCTTGGCCCTGGTGACAAGGTAGGTCTCTCCCAACTGATGGGCATATTGATCTTCAGCCTCCTTCAGAGCTTCCGACATGACAGTCCCCTGAGTCTCAACGGCTGCCGCACTGGCATGCGCTTCAGCAAACTACACCTGGAGCATCATGAGAAGATCTCGGCTTCCTCGGCTCGTCAAAGGCACTTCCTTAGCTCCGTGGCTTGCCGGTCATACTGCTCATCCAGAGCAAGCAGGTACGTGATCAAGTGCACCGTGGTAGGACTATCTTCTTGCTCATCCCGCCCTTGCAAAGCCTCCATGCTCGTCGATTCTTTTTCAAAGATGGAAAGAACCTCATGGGGGTACGAACAATGGGCTCTTCATAGATCTGGCAAAGGTACCGTAAGGCTTTGCGGGCCACAACCTGGTAGGTATCGATGAAGCGAAACCCGGTTGCGGTCATATTCCAGGCTTCAGTGATATCGGAGAACTTTTCACTCTTTCCAATGTAGACGGTAACTTCACACAGCTCAGTGCCATGCTTTTCATACTCACGGCCCTCATACTCGGAATGATTTTTTACTCCGAGCTTTTGCAGGGTGGCATACAGGATCTTAGAAAAACCCTCAGTGTTCAGGCAGTAACTACTAACCCAGGCTCCTGCCACGCTGGCAGTGGTTGCAAGGAAGGACTGAGCGAAAAGCTAGCTCAAAAGAAAAAGCTAGGCGAGCTAAAGTGCACCGGGTGATGGTACCAACAGCTAAGCCAGACCCTGCTTATAAAGGCAGAGCAGTCAGTGTTCCTGGGGTGGTCCACCAAGGTTCCAGCACGAGATAACTATAAATGAATCGACCGATTTTTTTGCGCGTTCAAGACGAGCGATGTTCGATGCCATTAATGACTAATACGGCTGCAAGACAAGATTCCGACAAAAACCCAGAAAAGAGCACGAGGAGACGCGGGTTAAGACAGGCGTGAACCACAGGCGACGCGAAGCACAAAGCCACAGTTTAGCATTAACTCCGGAATAGGAACGAGTCAGGCGTGCACCATACGACACGCGTGACACCTATGGATAGCGTATCTGCAAGTAATACGGGCACTACAATGCACAAACAGGATATGTATGAATGCACATCCTATATGTCCTTCTACTGTTGTCAACATATAGGGCAACCATTTTTAGATTTTTGGCACACCGATCTCTCCCTGTAGCTAGTCGATACTATCAGACTATGCTCGGGGTCAGTTTACCTGTAGAGAACTTGATTAAGCCTACCTAAGTCAGCAGAGTGTCATCTATCCTGGATACATAACCATAGTAATAGGGCTACTTATATAACTTCGCATGTAACGTCCTAATTTTTTGAAAAGAATTTGTTGTCAAGTTTTAGTTTAGAAATAGGTTCTGAAGCTTTATTTCCCCATTTATGCCGATGGTGCTGTTGGTAGTGTAGGACACATGAGCGGTGCAAGGAAGGCAGCAGATCTTCGGCCGTAGTCCGCAGTGATCGCCCTGATGTTTGCCATGATGAGGTGGACACGGATGTGCTAAGGAATGATGGGACGCTGCACGACTGGGAAGTTGAATCTGCACTGGCTAGGGAGCCATATTAATGGCGACCAACCCCAACCACCTACCACCTCGGGAGCAATGTGCACGCAACCCAAGCCATTTCTTAGATGCATGGATGCATGTGTAAGTACAAATATTCCTGCATGGTCGGTGAATTGTTTTTATCTGATGGTAAGGAGAAGAGGCATTAAATGTGTCCACCTGCCCGACTTATTTGTATGTGATGGTAGCATGGAGGGAAGGCATAAAATGTGTCCACATGCTTTCGACCCACCCTGCGTAGGTGAAGATGTCCAGTGCTTTTAAATTTACTGAGTGAATTTCTGAATAGCTTAGGGAGGCACTCGCCATCTTGTTTTATATAATTTGCACGTTCAATCTATTGCACTCCTCGTATAAATTCTCCGGAGACCACCATTTATTGCTTTATCTTTACCGTGCTTTTTTGGCGGGTCTTTCCCGTGCTTTTAGTGGACTATGAAACTTTAATCATGGACAATTTT